CATTGCTCCAAGCCTGTGAAAAATTCAGCAAGCAACAAGGGCAGAACATGTACACGGGTTTGGTTTCTTTGTCTTTCCCGGCAACCCCCACTTGTCTACTCTCAGTCTTTGCACCTTGACCCGCCAAAAGGAAGCTCCGATTGACACAGACCCATGAGACCTATTCGCATGGAGGCTCTCTTCAGCACCTTGGGCATCAACGAGGAGAAGGCGCCGAATCCCAGTGGCACAATGGGGGGCAGCCAGCGCAGGTGACACCCATTTTGGGGCTTCCGCCCGATTCGAGTGCATAGGAACACCAAAAAACAAACGTTCCATGAGCCTCCCCCTCCTACCCCAAAAACGGGTGGTTTCCCTTGCTTGGGGTTTCTTTGTCATGGCCCATCTCGGTAGCACTGAGCCATGACTAGAGCTCTTCCGGCTCTTTAGCGCAGAGAATCCGCAGGGACGTCCAAAAGAAACCCCAGAAGTCAAGGGGCCAGTTTGCGAGATTCCATAGGAGTCACCCATATCCTTCCGACAAAAAGGGAAGGAGGGCCATATCCGCTGGGCGGCTAGGTCGTGTTGTCCAGTGTTAAGCTTGCATTCTTGCTGGCGGGAGAGATTACTTTTACGACCATGAAGTCGCCCAGAAGCCTAGAGAAGTGGATTGGAAACACACAGCTCACAGTTTGAACAGGAGAACAGGAGTCACCCACCATGTGGGCGGGCATAGTTCCTATGTTTGACACAAGAAGAAGCCGGCCCCAGTTCTTGAAAGTCCCTCATGAGTCACAATGAAAACATCTTCCCAAAAAACATGTAAAGAATGAAAAGGTCGGAAAGCAAAGCCTATTCATAGCTGACGCGGCCTCCTACTTAATTACCTTCAACTACCCTCGCTGATGTTCCCTTTTGCTTCTCTCTTTGGAGCCACCACAAAGGGTACCCTTTAAGAAGCAAAACACCCATATCTCCCTTTAGACTTACCCGGCAAAAGGCGACCAGTTCTTGCCCCATGGCGAGAAGACGCCAAAAGCGGAAATCTTGGCAACACTTTCCTTTGCCCCTTCCGGCCGCATCAAATTTCCAGTGAGGGTGGTGGGATGCCATGTGGACCCTACCCTCTTTCCAACAATGATAGGGCTGCACAGGAGAGCTGTGAAAGACTACCATCCTCTTGAGACCTCCTGTCCACTTCCAGGATTGTTGGGAACAGGGTGCATCAGCGATTAGAACACCAGCATGTATGGTTATGAGTGTACCCTTTTCTGCTCGTTTTCGAAGGGTGTTGATTGTTGGAATTGTAAGATGGATGGATGACCTGTGTCCGCGTCAGGCCTGGAAGCTCTTTGAGATCCTCGATGAGGACAACGACGGGGAGATCGACGCCGACGAGTTTGTGCCGGACTGCCCAGGAGATTTGTGGGGGTGGGGGCGTCACTACTTTTCTGCACATTAAGACCAAAAGGGGATTCCACAAAAGAAGCTTCTAAAAGCGCGTCCCGGGTTTGTGGCTTGAGCATTTGTTTCCCTAGCTTGCTTTGATTTCTGTTGCGTCACCTTCTCCCGGACCCGGTAAGTTTGTTCCGGGCCCGGGACAAAAAGTACACAAGGCCTCCCAAAGGCACACCCTTGGTGACGCTCTCTTACTCTCCCTCCCTCTCTCTCCCTCCGCTCCCGCTCCCTCTCCCGCTCCCTCTCCCGCTCCCTCTCCTCTCTTTTTCTCTCGCCTTGTTGTCTCTTGGGGTGTTTGTCTTTGTATTTTTGTCTCTTTGCCTCTGTCCCTTTGTACTCTCGCTTCGAGACGGGGCCTGCGGCATGCCGAGGTCGCGGTGCTTCAAGCTCAAAGGCTCTGCCCAGAGGGTGGACACCGAGAGGACCCGAAGTCTCGGGAGGCGAGGGTGATTTTCTTGCGGCCTCAGTACCCGCCCCAAGTTTGAAAGGGTCGTGAAGACTCCAGGCGAAGCTATGATACAAATGCCAGATCTTGGAGTTCACGAAACCGCTATGGTTTGGTGTGGCAGGGCTGGGGGTCGAGGGGAGGATTCGGTTCCGGGGTTCGGCCCTGCCATCTCGAGAGACGCAATCGCCCATGTTTTGCACACCTTTCAGGGGTTGTGAGATGCGGAGCTGGGGGGGGAGCTCACAAAGGTGTCTTTCTTTCTTGTGACAGAGACTTCAATAATGCTTGCTGATGATTGAGACTTTGTTAACTCAATGAGTTGCAAGGACCCCTTCTCAGCCGAATGTATCCCTTTGGAGTGGAGATTCAGGTCACTTTCCTTTGGTGCACCCAACTAAATAGGAAATGCTCAACTTCCAAGCTTGTGGAACAGCAACTTTTCCCGCAGATGCATGTTCTTGTCATGTCATTCCGAGGAGTTTTCCGTTTGACTTTGCAACCTCCTTGCAGGGGGGTTTCGTCCGTGTGGTTTTCGCCCGTTTTTGCCTTGGCAAGTTGACGAGACCACGGCGCATTGAACATGTTGATGTTTGTTCCTTTTCGGGGCGGACGCCTAAACAAAAGGAATCCATTTGTTGTGTGGGTGTTGTGTTCCATGTGGGTGTTTCCGACATACGGAGCCACTTTTCGGATAGTTTTACGACGATCGGACAATCCTTTTGGGTGCGTCGCTTTCTGAGGGCACCCTTTTTGGATGGATTTACTTTTGCGGGGTTCCCTATATTGAGACACCCCCTACATGGAACCGCCAAAACCAACCACCGAAAGGCAAATTTGGCAACAGCGAGCTGCATGCGTAGTTAAGCCCGAGCAATGATGCGCTTCAAATTTGGGGCAGTCGATTAATCATCCAACAATGGGTCGCCTCTTGAGGTATGCCCAACCCGGAACACCCGGCACAAGAACATCAACATAGGTCTGTCCAAAAATGATGAAAGAAGTGGGACTTGGACCCTCCAAAATTGGGGGGAGGGGGGGGGGAGTGGGCTTAGATGTTTTTTCCCTTTCCATTTCGAGGATCTACGCCTGCCTGAAGCGGCAGGGCTCCGTGCTGGAGGAGATAGCAGGCGAAGCCGGGATCGGCCGGTCCCAAGGGCTTTTGGTTTCCAACGTTTGGTTCCACCAATTGACGTACCAATCGACAGTCCTGATTTGGAACATTTTCCTTTGAAACGGACCGGGTCCCGAACGTCAGGCCGGCTGTGAATTGGTGGTATGTTCGTTTTGAAATCTGGATGTCAAGTGGCTACATTTTGCAGGGCGCTCAAAGACATAAATGCACTCATGCATCGCTGGGTGGCACATTAGGAGCTGGGTGAGGCAATCCGTTCAGAGCAACCAAGCCTTGCAAAGTGGGAGATTTGAGGGAGCCGTGTTTTATCCCACTTCCCTTTTGCAAGCAAGAGGGTGATCCACCCTTCTCCTCCAAGCAAACAGCATTTCGGGTTTCAATCCAAATGATCAATTTCAGCAAGCCAATCAACATATCAACTGCATTTCCGGTGTCACAAAGCACTCAACCACCAGCCACAGCTGTTCGGATTCAACGCCGGTTTGAGCTGTTGTGTTTAGAGCTGTTGCGTTTGAACATTGGATCCGGTGGCCGAGGCTACATGAACGACGTGCTCCGCGGCATCACCTCGTTGCGCCTCACACTGGACATGCAGAAGCCGCAGAGACCCAGGTCGGTGCCGGTGCTTCTCCGGTGGTTCAATCGGCGGGTCTGTCTACAAGGGGAACTCTTTGAGGACCGCTGAAGTGCCCAGGTTCAGCTTCTCCCTAGTTGGTGGCTTGGATTGGTGGTTTGGGGATCTGAACCGGCTTTTGTCGATGGTAGATGGGAAACCCTTCCTTTACCACCACAACACCAATCTAGACCACCACTTGGCGCAAACTGACAAATTGGGAATGTCGTGTAGGCTGTTGGGAAACCCTTTGGGGATATGCCAGGAGACCACACGAGTTGGTTCAGTTCGGGTCATCCTGGGACCCTAGTAAGCAGCAGAAAGACACCGGGTCGACAGCCCCAAAAGGCGTATCCGGACATCCTCCGCAAAAAGACCAAAACGGCACGTGTCAGAATAGGGGGACCCCAATTGGTTTCCCTAAAATTTGAAAAGAGGCGGCTCCCGAAAAGACCTGGTCCTTTGCCAGGTCTGGCTTAGCCAAGCTGGCGAGCATTTCCGCCGCGCAAGCGGCGCCGTGAGAAAGATCCTGGCCCGCTTGTCTCAATCCCCATCTGGGCTCAGCGCCGGGTGGGTGATCACGAAAAGCCACGGAGGTCCTAAGGATTCAACTTGCACCATTTTGTGGGTCTTGACTTCATGCTGTTGGCAAGTCCTTTTTTGGTAGGCTACATTTTCTTCGCTTTGTAAAGTTGATCTGCCCGCAACTTTCCCCAGTTTCGACATCACCGGGACAGGACAGGCCGATTTGGGCGAGTTTCCTCAAAGGACGTCTCGTTGGATTAGGGGAGCTCCCCGGCAAAGGCGCGCTCCGACCTTCGGCGGACTTTCGAGGGTTCGGCAAACAACATGTCTGATGTTCCGGAAGGTGTAGGCCCGACGGAAACCAACATGAAGCCATGCTTTTGGATTGGTTTCCAGGTTTGCCATATCTGGCATGTTTGGCTGAAAGGCCTCGAGGTCCACTTAAAAGCCAACACAATACTATGACATCAAACTTCGCAGACAAGAGTGATCCAACACCAGGGAGACTTGAGAGCGGAACTTCGAGAGAGGCAAGTTACGAGCAACCTGCATAGTTGTCCTTTCCAGCATCAGTTTGGCCGAAACCAATGGATTCCAGCGTCAGTGTCTTTCCAAAAGGGCTTGGCAAATGAAGGAGTTTGGTTGACCATATATACATTATATATCTATATATACATATACATATATGTATATATATATATAGATAGATATGTATGGTGTATTTTTAAGGGTGCCCTTGTTCGGGTGGTGTTAAAACAAAACCAGAAGGTGTCCCCGAAAGGAAGACACACCATGTTTAGATGCAGGTGGATTCCACTGCGGGCGAGCCCGTCGGCTTTTTTCAGGAGGGCCACTGCATGGCCAAGCGCGGGCGCTTGCACCTGGCGCTGGCTGAGGCGCAACGAACTGATTGAGAGGGATTTCTAAGGGATTAAAAATGGCAAACCATATGGTGTTTGTAAAAATATGTTGCAAAATGTGTGAACAACACTCAGAAGACCAGGTCATCGGGTGCTTGGCGATTAGTTTCTGTGATTTGGATCATTCCCGTTTTGAAGCGACAAAGTGCTCATGGGAATTCCACTCTATGGTTCTGGCTCTTGTTTGAGGGACACCAACCTTTGAGGGTCCCTAATTTCAGAAAAGAATGATTCCTCACCGTGGGATTGCTGGATCAGTACACCTATATGGTGGTTGCCGTATAGGTTGCCGTGCCGAAAAGGGGGAAGGTTTGCTTGCGATATCGGGGGAATTTAGATTAGAGGGGCGGCTTGTCAAGCACATGGAAAAGGTGTGAATTCTTGGACTGCTTGTGAAAGGTGCACAAGTCTTGATACGGCTATTGAGCTAAGTCAACAACAAGGTCCGTATCCAATTTTGATCTGCACTACGTGTGAGAGGTGGTCGAGTGTTTTTCTCTCCCGACCTTTGTTTTGCTTGACACTCCGAAGACAGTTGTTTCTGTACGGTGCCGGTCCCGTAGGCATCCTTTCGAGTCAACCTTACCCGTGATAAAGGTTTCTTTCTTGGGAATGCTTATTTAGTGGGTTGGGGCAATATCCTCACTTTCCCAGCTCCTTTGAACACCTGAAGGTGGAGTGGGCGAAAGCTTGGGCCCTTTGCGCAAAGCTTGGGGATGTGTGCCGTGACACCAAATGTCATGGCGATGTATTGACCATTTGGAATCATGCCAAACATGCCGCTGCACTCACTTCCAGGTTTGCAGTGAGCAATCAGCTTGTGGTTGAAACCCACCATTGGTTTGAGGGGGAAGTCACACATCCCCATGTGTTTCCATAGATGATTCCTGCAGGGATCCTATGGGTCGGAGCGGGGTTGGAACAATGGGCCCGTCAAGTTGCTTGAGGTGTCCTGTTTGGTTTAGGTTGGTTTAGATTGGTCTTCTGCCCCAGTTACCAGGGCCATCTATCCAAAAGGTCACCTGTGGTTGCATGGCTTGTCTGCTGAACTGCAGTGTGTTTTGACTCATTTGATTTATCTTGCTTGCAACAGCAGCAGAAGCTGGAACGGTAAGTTTCGGTCAAACACGTCGTCTGGATGTGAATTCCGAAGAGCGCCCCTCCATGTGGCTGATGGAAATACAACCCCCATGTAGAAGATGTCTACTGTTTTTTGGCAGATGACCAACCTCTTCCAGTCAGGAGAGCAAGAAGGGCAGTTGATATTAGTTGATGCCTTGCTTTGATGAGGCCTCGCATGTTTCAGTTTTATATTGCAAACTACTTCTCTCCAGCGAACAAGATGGAATTGCACAGACTCCCTGACACTGCCTTTTTATTGGCTTGTAGTGAAACAGGCAAGCGGCATAGATACCAGCATGTGATATATGGGATTTAGTTTTGGAGGCAAGGAGATCGCTTCATTTTCCTCAACTCGGCAATATACCTAGGATAATTCTCTGCGTCTAGTGCAACATGCTCGGGTTCGAGGCTGCTTGAGCAGTGTTGATCTGGTTTGAATCCCCACTTGCGACCACCTTCTCGGCCATGAAGGTACTGCTGCTTTGCTTATTTATGATGCAGCATACCAAAGCTAGCGAGCACAAACACCTTGCTTACTCGAGGCTCAGAGTGGTGGATCCTTGGGGGTTTGGGTAGCCATAATCATTCCTGTTCTGGAACCATGACCATGGCCCACGGGTTGACAATGCATGTGGTTGACTGATCGAAGGGTAAGATTTCCCAGGGCCAACCACATGACCCAGGATGTGGCCCTACAAAATATCGGGCAGCCCCAAATTTAGGCCGAAATGCATATTTAACGGGTACAAACAACCCATATCCGGGCGAATTGTAGAATAGCCACTAGGGGGGTTGCGACGACGTCGAAAGTGAAGCTTCTCTTCTTGAGGGTTTCTCATTTTCGGTTGGATTTTTTTTCATAATTTGAATAAAAGGGGACACCAGGGGCAACGCACCTGGGTGGCTGGGCGTGTATGGTAATGGGTCCGCTCCGGCATGGTCTCCGCAGGCTCTCTCTGCTCAAAATCTGCTTGAGGAGGCCGAGCAGTCGCTGGGGCACCCAGTTAAGGCGATTGAAAGTGGATGGCTTTGGTGTCGCAAAAGGGGCCATTCTCCAGCATATAGATCGGTATTCCAGGGCCCCGAAATGAATACCCTCTTTCACTTCTAGTGACCATGGCCCATGAGAGTTTCTCAACATGGTGGCCCTTGTGGTTGCAATAGAAGACCTGAAAGCAACCACTTTAGGGGACCAAATGTCACGGGTGTTCGCCTCGTGAGGTACGGCGCTGCGGCGGAGCTGTTGGGCCTTCTTTTCGGGGACGACCACCCAGAGCATCTGGCAGGGACTCTGAGAAAGCTACGAAGCACCGCTCAGATGGCGCGTTTTGGTTTCGTTCCTGCCTTGGGGCCCTAGGCCGTAGACTTCTCAGAAAAGCCGAGTGGTTCTGAATATCCCCGTGGCCGATTCAACATGTGCCAACTCTTGGCGCATGTCGGACAGGTCTCGGAGCCCTGTTTGGCGCCCCACTCAAGATTGGCAGGGTCAAAGCATGACATCATTTCCTGGCATCCCCGCAAACCAGCGACCTAAACCGCATCACCCCCACAACCCACTCACACCGAAACATACTGTGTATGGACGAAATCCTGCATCAAGTAGAAGCCATGGGAAATAATTGTTTGTTGGTATTTGCAGGGGAATGAAACCATTCCTGGGTTTTTGAACGGTGGTGCGAAATGGATTTCCTCCATCCACAGTATCTCCAAGGAGGCCGCCAAGATGCAGGACATGTGCCGCCGGAAGCTCCGGGCGGAGGCGCAACCCCCGACGGCCGGAGACCTCCCCGGAGCTGGTGATTTCCCTGCGGAGAGTTGGCACCTTGGGGGCCCCACATATATGGTATGGGTGAAAATAAACCCACCAGGGGACCGCAGGTTTTAGTCTTTGGTTCCATTTACAAGGGCCCCATTTTGGGTACCTATTTTTGACCCACTGCCAGATGGATGTCCCAAAGCTTCGGACGGGTCGAGTACGTGAAACCCTAGGACAAAAAGAACTCGTCGAATGGGCAGCGATGCTGCGACAAAGAGCCGGTTGGAGTGAACCAATGCGCCTCTTGTCAATTGCAGGCTCTGGTGGTAAGCGGCACTTCTGGTCACGGATGCTGGAGCGGGTTTTGTGTTTTCCTGGCGAATGTTTGGTTGCGGACCGGTTGACGGCTGGGCTGCTTGCGACTTCGGTTCATGCCCCACTTTGATCCTCTTCGTCTTGAGCCACTGTGCTTATCCTTGATGTACAAATACAGCAGGACTATCGACAAGAAGCAGGTTTGGTGCCGTTCAACCTGACATGTCTGCGCGCGCACACACACACACACAACACACACACACACATGCATGCATACAGATATTGACAGATATCAAAATATATGAACTTTAGTATGAGTGTAGCACATATATATATATATACACACATACCAACACAACGTCATAAACACTGTACAGACATAAAGTCATACATACTGTACATATATATATATATATATATGGTCACCCCCCCCTGCATGACCTACCGTTGTCTTTCAAAAAGTCGTTGGGGACCATTAGCAGACAATAAAAAAGTGAAAAACAAAACACATGTTTTTTTTTTTATGGTTTTCGATTAAAAAACAACACAGTCAACCATTGAAAAATTAAGAAACACCAGTGTAATTTGATGGTTTTAGCAAAACAATGTGCAAACACCCATGTTTTTTTTTAGAAAAACAGGAAAGCATTCAAAAAAACAAGTGTAAAAACTGATATGTTTTTCAGATAGATCCCTAAGTCAAAAACTAAGAATTCCCTGGGTTTTTGATGGTTTTGCAGTACAACCTTCAGAATTCCTTGCGTTTTTTAGCATTTTTCACATAAAACCAAGAAAACCTCGAGAAAACCAAGAATCCAAGAATCCAAGATTTTCAGGTAGATGTTTGATCCACTACAAAATCTTGGATTCTTGGTTTTCTCGAGGTTTTCTTGGTTTTCTTGGTTTTACTTGGGAATTCTTGGATTTCCAGCAAAAACCAAGAATTACTAGGTTTTTTTTGGATTTCCAGCAAAAAACCAAGATTTACTAGGGTTTGTTTGGATTTCCAGCAAACAACCAAGATTTACTAGGGTTTGTTTGGATTTCCAGCAAAACACCAAGAATTACTAGGGTTTTTTTGGATTTCCAGCAAAAAACCAAGATTTACTAGGTTTTTTTTGGATTTCCAGCAAAAAACCAAGAATTCCCAAGTAAAACAAGGAAAACCAAAAAAACCTCGAGAAAACCAAGAATCCAAGATTTTGTCGTGGGCCAGACATCTACATGAAAATCTTGGATTCTTGGATTCTTGGTTTTCTCGAGGTTTTCTTGGTTTTCTTGATTTTACTTGGGAATTCTTGGATTTCCAGCAAAAAACCAAGAATTACTAGGTTTTTTTTGGATTTCCAGCAAAAAACCAAGATTTACTAGGTTTTTTTTCTCCAGCAAAAAACCAAGAATTCCCAAGTAAAACAAGGAAAACCAAGAAAACCTCGAGAAAACCAAGAATCCAAGATTTTGTCGTGGGCCAGACATCTAAAACAACAGAAATACCAGCACCAACTGAAGACGAAGAAGAAGAACCACAAAAAGATAATTTTGAAAAATTGAAATCTTAATAATAGCATATATAATGGGTATTGGTAAAAGTAAAAATAATGAAAATAATAGTTTGGAAGACATTAAGAATTTAAGTATAGATGAAAAAACACGAGCAGACACTTTAATTATTAAATCTCTTCAAGAATGTGTGACACGAATTGAGAAACTAGAGAAAGAAAAATCTGACAAATTAATATATAAACTTCCTGCCTTACAATTTTGCAATGCTTCGTTAATTTAAATTAATAATATTAACATATAATAATATTATTGATTGCTATCATAATCTGTCATTTTATCCTCTGGTATTGTTGTTGAAGTAGTACTACTTATATCATCTATTAAATCTTCTTCATCAACAACATTATTTTGACATCTTAATAATTCCTCGTCTGTTGCCCTTCTTTTCAATACTTTATAAAGTTTATGTATCCAAGAATTAGTATGAAAATTACAATTACCTCTACGATAAAATCCACCACATCTACATAGTTTCATTGGCATATTACTATATTATATTAAATTAGAATATCTTTATTCATCATTCGTAATTTGAAATGCCTGTTCAAATCTGATATGAAACATTTTGTTAATGTCTTTAGCATTCATATTCACGTAGAAGAAACTATAAGGTGCGTCATTAACGGCTTGATGATACATATCTAATAATTGCTGTTTATCAACAATGGCGCTATTTTCTTCAATAAAACTCATTAACTCACTTGCATTTTTCAACCTAATGAACTGGCATTTAAACGAATGATAGGCACTAAAACATTATATTTTGTGTTGAACAAATTACACTTGCTGCATCGTGCCTGCCTCTTGTAAAAAGTCCGTGTAATAATTTACTATATCTAACAAATTTAGGATCGTCTGCGTGGTCATCTACAACGATGAATATTGAATGCGTGGTCATCTATAACGATTAATATTGAATGTAGTTTCCTTATCTTTTTAGACTTCATATAATTAATTATTTTCTTCTGTCTTTCAATTACATTTTCTAAATCACTTGGATTATAATTTTCAAAATAAATTTGTTCTTTTTCATCATCCACGTGCAATTCATCCCTGATGTATTTTTTAACTTCTGTAAAAGTTGGGTCATTATGAACGCTGGGGGAAAATATAAATATTCTTGCAAATGAATTTCTATAAACATTCAAGATATGGTTTTGGACTAAAACTGTTTTGCCTCCCATCGATGAAGCAACTATAATACTTCTAAATGGTAATTTTAGCACGTGCTCATATTTGGATTGTTTGAATTCATATTCAGTTATGTTTATTGGTTTTATTATTGGGACATCTGTCATAGTTGATATTAAAGAAATATAGAAAATTATATTTAAAAAAAAACTTGTCATTAATATTAAATGGAACATCATTATGTTATGAGTGGCGGTGAATAACATAATGGAACAGGTTTTCCATTGCTTCAATCAATAAGCATTGAAGATAATTAGTTTTGTGTTTTGCTCGCGTGTGCAATGAAAACCAAGTGCTGTGCCCCACCAATAGCGATGAAGGGAGGGGCAAATGATAGATGGGATCCTGCTTTTTTTAGCTAAAAGGTAGGTCATGCAGGGGGGGGTGAGCTATTATATATATACATTGCACAATGCAGGTAAAGCTAAACATACAGGACATACCATTATACATATAACTAAGAAGTTTCCACTACTCCCAGAACACTACTCGATATGGGGTATACGACCCACACCTGCGATATGTGGAGCAACACATCGTAAAGTACCGTACCATAACATGACGTAACGTAGCGCAGCGTAACGTGGCGTTATGTATGTGCGTGCCTTCCTACTCACACATACAGCACATGCAACACCTTTTAGCACATATCCATACACGTACAAATATACCATATACACGCATTTACATACATATGCACGCATGTCAATGCATACAAGAACATGTTGTTGATACGTCCACGTAAATTTTCATGTACACTTACATTTACATACACATACGCATATGCATACGCATACACCTTCTTTTGTGCCGGCTAGACGAGCCAGGCGGGCCGTGTGGTCAAGGCTCAGCTGCCGGAGCTGGGGCCTTTGAGTTGCCTGTGCGGGTGGGTCCAAACATGGGTCAGAGTCTTCCTCGGGGACTCCCCGGTTGAGGGGGCTTCCTACTCGCAAGAAGCTTAGAAGTACTGGAACTAGTTGCATTGTGTTTCTGACGAACAGGTTCGCATGTGAAAAGCTGGGAATCGTGAGAGTGGGGCACAGAAACGAGCAGAAACTATGGCCATGAGTGTGGATGCAGCTGTTCGAATGTGCGCGCCCACCTCTGTCGAGACGGCGGTCCTGGAGCTGATTTGGAGCGGGTTCTGAACAGTCTCAGAACACGTGCGGAGAAGGGACCATTGGCACGGCCGCACGCGAACCTTCTACTCACTTTGGGGGGGGAACTCGTGCCTTTTACAGTTTTCCCTTCGCTTTGTCTGCCTCGTCCTCGGGAGTGGGAGGCGTGCCGGGAGACTTGCGTGCCCATTCCCAGCCGAGCGGGCGCACGGATGCCTGGAAGGCCCTCTGGGCGGTTCTCTCCCAGACGCCCGGGGCGGTGGGCACGGACGATTTGCCGTGGCACAGCGCGGCTGCGGGATCCCATCCTGGCGGACACCTTTTAGGCGGAGGCCTGGCCCTGGGGCCAGCCTCCCATGCCCTGGCGGGAGTCGCGCAGCCATCAACAAGTGAACCCTTTGCGAACTTTGGCAGGTCGAGCGAAAAGACTTCCTGGTTTTCTGCGTGTCTAGAAGGATAAAAACAAGAAAGAGAGACAGCGAGAGAGAAAGAGAGAGAGAGAGAGAGAAAGAGCAAGAGCAAGAGAAAGAGAGAGAGAGAGACAGCAAGATTAAGGTAGGCTTTCCCCACTTGAGTGTTCTGAGAGCGTCCCTTAAATGGGCGTGTCTTCTTTTACCAGATCACCACCCCAATGGATACTAGATGATGCTAGAGTGTTCTGTTCTTTATTGGTGTCTTTGAGGTGCCTGACGATCCACTGGGGCTTCATTTCTATGCTGGATATTGGGGCAACTATTTCTGGAAATAAACATGGCTCCCATGTGATATGCGTTTTAGCAGTGCAAAGCATATTTGTTGTAGGTGATGCCCATACCCATATAGATACAGTATGTACATCCACGGGCACCGGGAGTTTCATTTTCATACGGTCCTCCATATACATCAGCAGGCCTATCCGTTGTTTGCCCCCACATGCCAGCTGATTCTTTCCTGCCTTTCTCTGATGCCCGTGCCAAGGAGGAAGGAGAAGGGGCCCAAGAAGAAACGGCGCTGAGAAAAATGCACTGCTGCAGACGTGCCAAGGGGGGCTCAGACAACCAAAGTTGAAGGAGAAGGACTGCCTCTTGGAGGGGTGTCAAAAGCACCCTGCTGAATTGCTGACAGCGAATGCCAATTGCACAGAGTTGATAGGCACAGATGCAAGCCCTTCGAACAGCACCCACCAGTCTACCGTCTCTCCTTCAGATTGACATGGGACGCCACTAGCCCCTCATATGTACGGAATCTGATTTTGAGGGACCTCCTTTCTCAGTTTGTCGTGTTCCATGTCTATTTGCAGCGTAATTAAACCGCTGCCTTTTGAATTGTCGATTTTGCCTGTGCGCTGCAGCCCAGTCCAGGCATTTGAGAGAGCCAGCAGAATCAGGGCAAAGATCACAGCACCAGCCCACGTCAGAGCTCGTGTCATGCAAACCGTCAATAAACACAAACAGAAACACAAACAGGAACACAGGAGATGTTTCCCCAATGAAAGGCGACGAACAAATGTTTTTTTTTTTTTTTTTTTCCCATGGGAGCCATCACGCACTCGTCTTCTCAAAAAAAAAGGCTCGGCGTATTTTCTGTTCGGCGCAAGCTATGGCGCGCACCAAGATGGAAGCCGTGAAGGCATCGCGTTTGGGTCAGATTGGGTTCTTGCATGGTTCCCCATTCTTGCAGATCTTCCATTTGCTGAAATGACTATTTGTTATTTCAACCTTTTGGTGTTACAGGGAATCTATCACTGCTGGACATATTCTTTTTTCATTTCCAGGGGGCTGAAGCAAATGGAAGAGACACAGCCAGTTAACCTGTAAACCCATTGGCGCTGGCTGTCCGACCAACCGCGCGGCATTTCGTGGTGCTGGGCGCGCAGGCCAGCGACGGCAAGTCCGCGAAGTCCGGGAAGTCCAAGGCGCGGTGTCCACGTGGAAGGGTGGGCACTGCAAGTCAAACAAGAGAAAGGTGAGGCGAGGGTGGGGGCCCCCGTTCAAATTAACCAACAACAAGTGGGTTCCAAGAGGGTGAGAGTTCCCTCAAATCGACCTACTGCGCGATTTTGAACGGGTGGGCTAGCAACAGGTCTTGAAAGGGTGGAGCTCTCTGTCAAATCAGCTCGGCGGGTTTCGCAACGGTGGAACTTTTCGAAAAAGACCCCACAAAAAAGAGGGGGTGCCACTTCTGTCTTTCTCCCTTGATTGGGCAAGTAATTATTGGGGAGGTCAATGATGGCTCACGGATCTCCGATTGGGGGAGTGGGACATGGACAGGTTAGCCGCCATGCTTTTCCCGGCTGAGCGGCCGACCTGGAGTCTCCGATGTACACTTCTCTTTGGGTGGGGCGCATTTTGAAGGGTCATGCCAGGAACTGAGGCAACCAGACCTAACTTCACGCGGAACTCTCCTCATGATCTTCAACTGAGTCACCGACAACATCATCGGCAGTCCACTGTGCACTCAGCCACAAAAGCAGGGTGCCGCCGTGCCACCCAGTTGTTTTTGTGCGCTATGGTCAATATTTGCTATCATTTACCTCATAAAGGGGGTGGCCTTGGGTATTAGCTGAAATTTCTGCCTCCCCTGTCAATCGGCAAGCTGTTAAAATTCGTGCCAGTTTTTCGTGGCTTGTCCTCTTTCTTGGACCTCCAGCAGTTTTTGTAGGCATTGTCAGGTCCTAATATGACCTCCTCGAGCAGACATGGTGTGCAAAAACGCCGGCGACGGCCCGTAAAACAAGCGCAAAAACCCGCAAACAAGCGCACCATTGACAGGCACTCATTTGACATATAAACCCCGGACACTTGTTCGTTGCTTGGGCTGAAATTGAAGACTCGGGCGCAAACAGTGTGTTCGAGCAGAACAACCAGCGAGCAAACAAAAGGGAAGGTATCAATGGAAGGCCCGGTGGGGGAAAAAACAAAACGATCTGTTCAATCCAAGGGGCCGGGGACGTCAGGAACTTTTTTTTGGGGAGGAAAAGCCATCCGTTCACTTGGCTGTCCGGCCAGAAGCAGAAGCTTGAGAAGTCCAAGGCGCGGGAGCTGGATTGTCCGGCCAAGGAACAAAGGTGCCCTTTGTATCGGTTGGCTTGTTTAGAAACAGATGGGTTCCACTGGTTTAGATGTGTTGCGTTCCATGTACCAGGGCCGTCTATTTTACTAAGAGTCACACATATTCCCACGAAGTTCGATTGGAGTTTGATTGGACTATTGGGGAGTTGGGATCACGCAAAATGGGGGCGTTCGCTGAGCCGAGGGCTCCACCCTGGTGCAGAGCGAGCCATCAGGTGGGGGGCCAGAGACGGAAGCGGGGAATGTGACTCACAAGCTGAGAGGAACAGCTGAATGGAGCAGAAACGAGCGATGCCCCTCATGAAGCTGAGCGGCGGCTTTTTTGCCATTTGCTAAAAACTTAAAGGTTCAAGCATATATTTGGTAGTTGGGGGCCGACTCCTTCGGCGAGTCTTGGGGGGCAAGTTATTCCGGGGCCAGAGCCCCCCTGTTGGCTATCTTTAGGCCTCTATGAAAAGGTAGTGTTTTTTGGAGCCGTTACACCGTCCGGCGAAAAGCAAGGCGAGGGTTGACATGATGGCAGGTGTTATCGACAGATGCGGCCTAAGTGATAAACTTTTAGTTGTGGGAAACTGGCAGCCTGAGGTTTTTTGGCCCTCATTGCCGCAGGTGGAAGATATTACGCCGTGTTTTGCATGGTCATTTAGCTGGTTCGGCCGTGAAAGCTCTGGATCATGTCGTTTGATGAACTAGAGCTTGGCTGTGGATGCGATGTTGGATCAACCACCACTTAGCGCATAGATGTCACTGCCAGTGGTTGAAAGAAGGAGCGGGGGGAGCTGAGTGCTAAGCAATTGATACGTTTTGTGGCTTCCTTAAGGGAAGCACAGGGATGGATCTGCTGCATGGCTCTGACCAGCATCTTGACTAGTCAAGTCCCACAGATCAGTTCTGTTGGAAACACTAGAACAGGTTTGTTGGGGATGGCCCAATGCAAACCTTCCGCCGGGCAGCTGCGACTTTAAAAGCCTGGTGTTCAAAGGGTCAACCCAAAACCAAGAGAAAACGCAACAGGGCCGAATATGCTGCACCTATTTCTGGCTGGGACCGGCCTGACTTCGCCTGAAGTTCTACTGCCCCCCGTTTTTGCGGTGCCTGTCTGTTTTGCCCGTCCTCCGTAGAGCCGAGCGCTTTGAGAAATAGCTACTGCAAGCGCCATTTGCAGTGACGAATAGGCGTCTTCAGAGCGAAGTTCCCTCACCGGCTGAGGGAAGTGTTCGCAACAAATTCCCGGATGTCAGTTGCCAGGTCACTTGGTTGAATCATCCCCCTCACTAGATTGAAACATGTTCCAACTTTCATCGTGGTGTAAGCTGGTTGCAAAGGGGACAACTGGCACCAAACATGGCCGGCCAAGGGGGCAACTGGCCCATGATTTCATGTATTCACGTTTTTTTTGGCAGCATTAGCATTCATGTGGTTGATCCATGTGTGTTTGCCACATCTGCTTCTGCTTCCCAACATGTGAATTGACTTTCCATGGGTTGCTCTCTGGCTTGACCATCCTTCAACTTGTAAACCATGACTGTTTTCCCCCTTACTAGCAGATGATTGGCCAATATGTGGAGTAGGTGGTTCTACAACCTGGTCAATTGAGGTTATAGTAAAGCTTGTATAAACCTTTATAGCCCATCTCAGAACAAAAAGTCCATTTTGCTCGCTCAGATGGTTTCGCCTTTTCCGGAGTTCGCCCAGTTTCCATGTTGTACATTTCTTGCAGACAAGGAAAACCCGTTGCGAGGCAGTCGGGCGACGCCTGGCACGCGGGTGAAGCAGGAGGCGGGCGAAGCAGATTCTGGTTGATGTATAGTTGTCCGATTTTGGGGTCCAAGAAACATCGGCCAGGCTGATGAATCAGGATTCTAATTTAGAAGGATCAAACAATGCAATTTCATGTGGCTATGCTAGGGGATTTTCAGCTTGCTCGCCGTTTGGGTGGGAAATCTAATGATCTTGCGAGTCTGGGAGTTTGGCATAGGCGATTTGTTGGTTTCTTTTTGTCTTTCCTTTGAACCCGAGTCCCAAAAAGGGGTAACCCCTATTTGAGCCAGACCCTGAAAACACCTACTTCAACAAAATGAGGTTGAATCGGCGCACAACAGCAATGATTGGATATCAATTGAGGCACTCGAACAGTCAGCTTTGAGGTTGGTTGACTATGACTCAGCTTGGGTTCCATCATCGGGGCTCTGCTCAGATCCGCTTCTACCAGTCCAACACGGAGCTGCTGATTGCGAAGGCCTGTAAGACGAACCCCCGGGTTTAGCACCTAGGATTGCATGGGCAAAACAAGCAACCCTCAATCAATTGGTAAACCGGGGTTTTGGGCAAAACCTAGGATTGAATGGGCATCTTGATTATTGGACTCTTAAGCAACAGCAAGGGAAATCAGGGAGCAGCGCGGGGGACGATTCCCCAATTTGATAGCAGCACACGGGAAGATTCCCCCGATTTGTCCATACTCATTTTGCGGAACAGCCGGGTGGGTCTGTTCGAAACGCTTGGCACCTCTCCAAATATCAAGGTGTCTGGTTCGGATGGATTTGAGTGCAACTGTGTTGGGGTTTCCTTGGCATCCCTCCCCTACCTCCTGCCTGTCGCAAGGGCTTGAATCGCGACATGTGAAGGGGGTCAAGCCACCAGTCTTTGGAAGCAACATCAACAAGGCAATCCAGGATGTTGACCATCAATGGAGAGGCGTGTTACATGATTTCAACACATTTGCATACCACAAACATGTGCTCCTGGTTCCCGTAAACCGGGACTTTTGACGCTCGCCCAGCAGTTCTAGTTTGATTCCCTCTTAGGATGAAGTCATGCATGATGGTTAGTTCAATGCTGGCTACTTTTCAGAGCCCCAAATGTTGCCTGGATGCTGCCCCGAAGTGAGTGGCAGTTTGGAGTTGAATGGCTGGACCTCAAATTGGTCCTCTCAAACATGGTA